AGATGATTACCAGGGCGTAGAAAAGAGAGTGGTTAAGATAGGTAAAGAGCGTAGCGAAGAGTAATCCTTGTTATTCTTTTTGAACTATGTGCGATATCCCGGTGTTTAAATACACAGAAACGAGAAACAGTTATGACTGAAAGATGTGAAAACATAAACGTAACTGTGATACACTCTAACAATCAACGACACTTATGTCCATCACTTGTTATAAATAAAACTCATAAAAGGAAAGTATATGCAAAAGCTAAGTTATCTGAAAATAGAAATGATGCGACTATAATAGCCGGAAGAATGTCGCAATTACAACCAAATAACTATCCCAAGTTCTAACTTAACTATTGCGCTATTTTAGCAGAGGGAAAGTACCTCATCACCCTCAATCTTCAACACAAAGCGCCGATCATATTCGCCGGGGTTTGCTCCTTTAAGCCCTGAAAATCGCAGTAGAGATAAGCCACGGCGACGTTATTCCCTTCGATCTGATTACATATCGTATCAATCACTAGCGAACTGGAATAGCACCATATCTAGTTAGCGATGACGGTCGCTTGTAAGGAATCGCTCTTCCCTCATACCTCATATAGGTTTTCCCAACCCCTGGATTTCCTGAACAGAACAGCGTAGCCTTGCCGGATCCATCTTTGCCGTCGCGCCATCTGACAAACTCTTCGTTTTGCAAAAACCAACTCCCTAAGCCATCGCGACGCCGTGTGCTCACATCCTGGTGGCGCACACGAGGTTCTAAAGGCGATAGCCATCCCAGAATTTTCTGCTCTTCATCTGTGTAGTTGTTGTAGATAGTGTTGTAACTACTGATTGTGTTGAAACAGTTTTGGTTGCCCGAACCGGTAGCATTTGGTTGCAGGTTTCTAGAGTGATCCATCTTAGTTGGCAGGAGTGCGTAGTGGTGGTTCTACCAGTATTGTGAGTAGATGGAAGTTGTGAAAGCGATGGAATGTCACAGAGTTGGTGTTCAGTGGAAAGCGGGGACATAGCACTTGTTCAGCCTTATTGGTGATGAGAAGGCACTACGGCAAAGCACAGTGTCTATAGGGCACTTGTATGGTGGGCTCTCATTATCATAACGGCGAAAGCACCAATAGGACACACCCAACCTGCACCTTGTGTAATCCAGCTGGTTTGCGTGATTTCCCTCTCCACTAACTTATCTCTAACAAGCAGGGTGGGCGCGGATTTCCAAAAAAATTACGATAAGTACAAGTATTTACAGTTAACCCTTTGGCTGCCATGCAGGTACTACGGTACTCCTAGTGTCCAAGATGCTTCTTCAATTTTCTGAAAATCCAACTCAAAAAGCCCCTAGTGAGCGATTTTCCGTGTGCATGCAACACACGGCACTGTATATACGTACAAGTAGTACAACTACCTTTTTGCCCAGTAGCGAAAGGAATGAAAACTACCATTGCTCTTCGGAAAGTTTTCATAGCCCCAAATGTATCATGCCATCACACCTTAGCAGTCTTTCTGCCAGCTACCAATAAATTTATTCTCGAATGGTCAGTCCAGATGAAGTCCTCGCTGACGTTGTTGCAATGTCGAATTGATTTGGCAAATAATTACTCAAATCGCTACAGTACCTTTTAGGCTGAACTGCCCATTGTCATAGTCTTAATGGCACATACAGTAGGGTCATGAGAACCCTGTTACTCGAGTAACACTTGTGAATTTGGTGGGTCTCCATATCTGGGACTAGGCAAGGACTTTCTTCAAAATCCGAATAATTCCTTGCCTGGACAAATCTTAAAGGTTTCATGAATAATTATTCTCAGTATAGTGAAAAAGCGTCAATTGAGTTGAGTGGTGGAGGAATCTTACTTTTGTAGTGTTATGACAATACTCGTGCCAAGGTTGTGGTTGCACCACAACCCACAGTCACTCGCTGGCTCGCAACCTTGGGCACTCTCAAGAGAGTGCCCGACAGCTCAACATAAATTTACAGCTCAACACAAATTTGTGGCTTACAACAGAAACCTGACACTACAACCCTAGCTAGCTGTGTAACCCCACCCACATAGTACTCACCAGGGGATTTTTATTGCTCAATAGAGCCTCCGTTTCCTCCACCATCTTTAGTCAATATACATGCACCTTCTCTCAACCGATAAACAAGATAACAAAACCAAACATGCCATCTGAGCCAGCATCTAAGTCAACTCTTATACCACCCAGTCAATGGGTTGAACCATATATTGATATTGAAGCCCGCATTCAGGTTGCTCTTACCTTCCTTCATACCACCAGAGATGACACTCCCAATCTTGCTTCAATTGCCAAGCGCCATGAAATACCATATTTCAGACTTCTAGCCTGCTGGCAAGGATGCCAGTCAAAACAGGAACGTCCCCCAATTAATCGAAAGCTCTCCGATGATCAAGAGGCCACCATATGCCAGTACCTGGACAGACTTGATACCGTGGGTACTAGTGCAAGACTACTGATGGTATCTGGCTGCACAAACACAATTCTTCAGCTGGCACATACAGGCCCAGACCCTGCACCACTCATAAGTGAGCAATGGGCAAGGCGATTTCTTGCTAGACATCCTGAATACTTTATCCGCAAATAACGTACCATTGATGCAGACCGGAAAAATGCCCACCAGCCTCATGAGATACATACCTGGTTTGAGAAGTACCAGGCAGTTTGTAACCAGCATAATATTCAGGTAGTGGATACTTACAACTTTGATGAAACCGGATTTCGTATCGGTATAGGGCGCAACCAGTGGATAATTACACGAGAGGTAAACCAGCAATCTTACCTTGGAACTACTATGAATCAAGAGTTAATTACTGTATGCGAAACAATTAGTGGTGATGGAAGTGTCCTCCCTCCTATGATTATTGTTCCCGGAGTTATACACCAGCAACAATGGTATACAGCCACTTCTATTCCCAACAATTACCTAATTGCGATGTCAGATACTGGCTATAGCAATGATGAATTGACCATGAAGTGGCTTGTTCACTTTGAAAAATTTTCTTCACAGTGTCAAGTGGGTTCCAGTCGACTTCTTCTTGTTGATGGTTTTGGCTCCCACTGTACGAAAGACTTTATCGACTTCTGCGATGCACACAACATTGTTGTTTTCTGCCTGCCACCTCATACTAGCTATCTCCTCCAACCTTTGGATGTCATCGTCTTCCAACCATATAAGCATTACCATGCAGAGGCAGTTGAAGCAGTGATGCGTACCGGAGGTGGTGACTTTGACAAGGTTGAGTTTTTGGATAAAATCGATTCTATACGTCAGCAAACCTTTAAAATGTCAACCATCCATTCCTCCTTTCGCGCTACTGGATTAATTCCCTATAATCCTGATATCGTAATCTCCAAGTTGCGAGAAGCACTTATTCCTTGTGCTATAGCTCCACCTACTACACCCCCACAACTTGCCTCTCCAACCATGCCTCTCACATTATGCAGCCTCAAGAGACAAGGTGAAGAGCTACAGCATGAGGCAGCTAATTTGTCGCCCACCTTTCAGCGCAAGTTGAGATTAGTTCTTCAAGGAGGCTTGGCCCAAGCCCAGTCTGGGGCATTGGCAATGGAGAACTTGGAAAATAGTCGAGCTGTGGAAGAAGCAAGAAATGCAAGGCGTAGGTCACAGAGCAGACGGCAGGTGCAGAAAGGGGGAGTCATTTATGCATCAGAGGCACGCCAAATGGTGAAAAAGAGAGAGGATTTGGAGATAGAACAGGCAGAAAAGCAGCTGAGACAGGCTCAAAATGCCAAGAAAAAGGCAGAGCAAGCAAAACACAAGCCTTTTCTTAATGAGTTGAAGGTGTATGTTAAAGAAAGACATACAATTCAAGCCTATAAGAAGAAAATGTTGAGACTAATCACTACTAGTATTAAATGACAGGCAAAGGTGCAAAAATAAATGTAAAGTAGATTATTAAGCTTACATAGTGAAATTATAGCTATATGCTTCATCTGGAGCTTACTTCATTGGACTTTGGTCATCCAGGATAGTGAGGTGTGACTGTAGACTCTACTGGTATGTTGTATTTAGCCACAAAGTCATGCTAAGCCACAAATTTGTGTTGAGCTGTAAATTTGCGTTGAGCTGTCGGGCACTCTCTTGAGAGTGCCCAAGGTCGCGAGCCAGCGACCGACCGTGGGTTGTGGTGCAACCACAACCTTGGCACGAGTACTTGTAACTTCACACAAAAGAATTTTCAGCCGCAGATTGTTTTGTCGAAGGATTGGGTGTGTAAATTACGTAATAACCCAACTCAGTCCATCAACCTTAAGCTTGGCGATCATGAAAGAGCTTTTCGACCATGAGGCTCAAAATCTCAACACTGTTTTTTTTTTTTTTTTCATCTTTCGTGAACGAGTCACATCACCATCCTTCCACTCTGCCGCACGAGCAGTCCAAACGGCTACCCGAATGGCGATCGGCGACTTAACGTTCTGCACCACTCTGTCAAAAAAAACAAGCCAATGTCAACAATTGCCAAATGCACAGAGTATTATAGACCATTCTCACCTTCCCGATGCTTAGCCATTTTCTGAAGGATGCTAACATCGTTGGGAGGGGACATGTACTCAAGTACTGAATGGAAGTTTGATGTGAATCGATATGATCCTTCTAACTATGATACTAGGTCTCACAATATGATAGGAGCGGATAGCCATGGCTAATCGGATCACCTACGATAGCTCGCAGCACGGTAACGATCAGTATTCCATGACACAGCAAGCAAGATTTCAGCAGGTCCGAACGACACATACAATATGGTACCGTATGTTAACCTCATCCCAAGCTGACCACTCCCTAGCATCTTCTATGAGGAATCCCTCGTTACTGTCCTTACCATTGATACTAGAGCGAAGCAATCAAGGGACTGTTCTCAACATGGCTGCGGATGCAGGAACCCTGTAGGGTGAAATGTCCATGGGATAAAGAACTTCACTGTACCTGCCATGTTAATTTTCTTGCTTCAAGGAAGTTCAACTTTCAACCCCCAGGTTCCATATCTCAGTTGATTAGTGTGTAGTGCTAATATTATTCAAATGTTAAGGCCAAGGTCAAGGGTTCGACCCCCTCTGAAATTATTAAATTCTTGTACTTCTCTTGATTTTCTTGATTATTTATACAGTTTGGTGACATAGTTCATCAGGGCATTCATTTTACACCAAAAACACTCTTTCTTTTTTTTTAGCTTTAGAACATAAGCAAAAGTTGCTCAATTAAGTTTATTTTTTTGCTGAGCGATAGATCTTGCTATTGCAATAAACACCTGAATTTAAAAGATGGATTACATTTGGTTTTCTTTCCAATTGTGTGTGGTTTTGGTATGTTGTGAGGAGGTACGATGGGTGACTAACGATGAACTATGTCACTGAACTATATCTAGGGAGGTAAGACCTGAGTTATTATGGGAGGGGAGTTGGTTTTTTGGTAGTAGTGAGGTTGTATTAGTGGGGGATAGGTGCGCACGGAAGTGAGAAGTGTCCTGCCACAGCTGGAGATTACCGGCTATATCAAATGGATTCAAAGAAAGCTTGGGAAAAGCAGAATGTTTTCTCCTATGTATTACATGAATTCTGTACCGATAGTACTCAAACTAACCTTCTGCAAGATCCGCCAAAGCAAAGTCCCTGACAACGAGAGTGGAGGCACTGCTCTAAGTCAAAATGCTTGCCAAACCAAGCACAATAGCTTTCCCCATTACCATACAAAACCATGGACGAAGCCAACAAACACTCCTCCTCCCCCCTCACCAAGTCAGTCCAGCTCTAAACCGAGATCTACACTGTGCTCGGGTATGGGGGGGTTGTCATCATTCGTATACTGTACTACCGAAACTAGACTATCCACCCTTGAAAAAGAGGGGGGAGATAGTTTTTCTTTTTTTACTCTGGGCCTTCTTACGCGCAGCGCTTATCACACATTTATTGTATTATTGTATAGTGCTTTTGAATAAAGACTGACGGTGGTGGGTGATCGTGAGTTCTGGAGATGAAGGTTAGGGATAGGGTAAGGCATGGTGGACATGGAAAGGAGGAAGGGGATGGTGGGGATATGTGCAAGGTTGATTTTCCTTGCTGTGCGGTATCTATTTCGTGCTCCCGGGTGGAAATTGTTGTGTGGTTCGATATTGTGTTCTATTGCCCCCCGACTGTGTCTATACCACAGTAGTATTCTTGGCTGTCACCGGCGGACTCCAGAATCACAAGGTCTCACTCGTCATCTGATATACATGTGTGTTGTTATGCAGCGGAGGATGTTAGGAGTTGCTTCACGATAACCTCCGGCATTGCATGGTCTGGACTCCTGCGAGGAGTGGTGGTGTGGCACTGGAGCGAAACAAGGAGCGAAACAAGGAGCGAAACAAGGAGTGTTATAGGATGAAGTGAGGAGCCGTTATGTAACGGAAGGGATGGACATTCATGAGGCTGGGCTCTTGATAGTATATAGTTTGATCTACTTTGATGTCAAGTAGATAGAAGTTTAAGTCTTTCATACGGTTACGAATTACACACAAACTTTGATCAAAACTCATTACCAAATTTCCCTATTTTCTTCTATTCACTTCGTCTATCTACTACAATGTGTAGTGGTGCTAGTGTAATCAAATATACGTATATTATCAAGTATTTTCGATTCCTTTTTAAACCATACATATAATACTTACAGACCCTAAAATCTCTAACCCTATAGCATTAGCCCTGGCCCCCAAATCTTTCCTAAAAGAAAGAATATGATACTCGATGTTAGTTATTCGCTCTCTAAGTGGAACATTTAATAGCCTAATTGTTCTGACAACCTTTACAAATTAACCATGGGAGATGACCATGGGTCATAACCAAAGATTGTTAGGTTTATGGTAGGTTTGAAACAGTTGCTCTTGGGTCTTAAAGAGTTCTCATATTTCTCTATCTCCTCAATTCCTCACTCTATTTTCCAGATTTTGCAATATTACTCTTTAGGGGTCAAATAAAATACGTATTTTTAGAATAACATACGGTATTATACGGTATTATACGAGCGCGTATAAATACGATCTCACACCTTAAGTGGTGCAGAGGAGAACGCTGCACATTAGCAACAAGGATCAACTGACTTCGAAGAGCCCGAAACGAAATGGTTATACGACCAGTTTCTCTCACCACTCCCCTAATCCCTGCTGGTGTTACGGCGGGTACTAGTAAGCCACTCCAGGCCATTATTCTTGTGGACGGATTGACCACATGTGGAATACCTTTCTGAATAAGGTCCGGTGCATACTCATCAAAGCAGACAGTCCATTCGTTTCTCAGAAGAAAACTTGAAGATTGAAGTCGATTCTCATATTTCGAGGTAAGAAACTCGGCCGAATTGGGACTTAAGGAAATACAGCAGCTTAAATACCCGACCTAACTAATACAGAAAATATAGGGAAGATGCGAAACAAACATCAAACGTCACTCGTGATCCCGGTACCTCACTGGTGTCCAAATTCTTTCATAGCGTTCACTTCCGACGTTTCTATCCTTCCTTCCTATCCACCTCCTGTAACTTTGCGTGGGCTATTAACTGATCGATCTTCGTTCTACAGCGAATGCTCTAATCGACAACTACAACGCGATATTACCGGTCCTGCCCGATTAATTCAATTGATGTACCTTTGGTGCATTGCAGTAATCGCCAAATACACAGAGCTAATTTGCAATACAGATGCAGCTGTGAAACGATTATCCTGACAGACCGCACAAGAGAGCCGATGGCGAAATATGCTTCCAACATCAACCCCGGCCAACCTTCTAACTTGCCTCCTATGACATTAGGCCAAACGTTTGGAACCTCCCGACATCATTCCCATGCCTCGCTGACCTCGCGTTCATATGCGACAATCCCGAATATGGCTTGTAGTCGGGTCTCATATTTTTGGGCCAACCCAGGTCTATTCGAGTTCGGTTGGGCTGGCTCTGATATTTGTAACCTTGGGTTAGGTTATGTTCCGTTGGGGCCAAGTATGGGTTACCCATCAAACCCGAACTTCTAAGGTGGTAGGGGGTTCCGTAGGATGCACCGGCAGGATTGAGTCTTCTCAGATAGTCTCTAGATATTCGAGTCTATTGGTCATTAGAGCGACATTGGATTATCTCTATCCAGCTCATTAGGAGAAAAGCATTTTAAAACAATCAAAGCCAGCAAGAATTGCAGTCTAGAAAAAAAAATGAGATAACATGCATGCCCTTCATTCAGGATCGACAAAAATGGCTGAGGAAAAATCACAAGTGAAAAACTCACCCACCCGGAGAGTAGTACGATCAAAAAGAAATTTTTTTTTTCAGGCTGGCTTCCAAAACCCCACATAAAAAAGAAATATAGTGGAAAATAATTAAGGAGTACATAATGGATAAGGTAGAAGAGGAATAAAAAAGTACACACCCGATGGATCTCCCAGGTAACTCTACTCAAGCAGCATGCCAAAACCCCCGTATATTCCGAAGGGAAACATATAATACATGACTTGACAAGAACACCACCAATTCAGGGAATATGCGAATTCGAGCCAGCACAATATGCCAGTGAATAACTAATCTCGCTGCAGAAAAAAAGGAAAAAAAGACATGAAAAACAAAGACCATTAGCCATTGGTACTACTTGCCACCAAAAATAGGAGAAAACCGGATACAGGACAGGGAAGACCGAAACAGACACGGGGAGCAGAGAGGAAATATTCAAGATGCAAGATAATCAGAATAATGCAAACAATAGGCGACAAGTATAGCAACAAGTATTACTGCAACAGCGACCGCCATGGATGGGCATGCTAGGGGTGAGGAGATGGGGAGTGGTTTTGTCTTATTGGAAGGAGAATCCAGAGGTGGAGGGGGAACGGGAGTGAGTGCAGGTGTGGGTGCGGTTGTCTTTACTTCGATAAAGTCCAGCTGTGTGTGGGGGAATGCTGGGACCTCTGTATCGTCTGTGGCAGGCTCCGGAAGCGGGGAGGGCGTTCGGGAAGAGAGCGGGCAGGGATCGAGTTTGGTGTTTATGTGGTCTTGGAGGAGCTTCACTATTCCTTCGTGCCCATTCCGGGCAGCCAGCAAGAGTGGTGTGCTACCTTCATCGTTTTTCGAGTCGGGGTTGACCTCTTTCCGGTCCAGGAGGAGCTTCACTATTCCTTCGTGCCCGCCCAAGGCAGCCAGCAAGAGTGGTGTGTTACCTTCATCGTCTTTCGAGTCGGGGTTGACCTCTTTCCGGTCCAGGAGGAGCTTCACTATTCCTTCGTGCCCTGCCCGAGCAGCCAGCAAGAGCGGTGTGTTACCATCATTGTCTTTCGAGTCGGGGTTGACCTCTTTCCGGTCCAGGAGGAGCTTCACTATTCCTTCGTGCCCATTGTCGGCAGCCCATGATAGCGGAGTACGGCCCTTGAAATCAGTCATCGACATATCCAAATCTTTCTTCTCCAACAAAGATATCACAATTTCTTGAAGCCCCATGTATGCCGCGCAGTGAAGCCCAGTGAATCCAATAGGAGATCTTGCCCCGTACAACAACCCCTTCCCTCGACAAAGAATTTTCGCTGAGATATGTTGATCGAATTCATCAAGAAGCTGAAGCACAAGCAACTTTACGCCTTCTGTCATTCCGTTTGTCACAAAGAACCCCCAGCAAGTTGATGCATATTCAAGAAAGGGTACACCTCTGGGGGCGTAAGTGTGATCAACCGAAATTTCATTAACAGAGTCATGGTTAAGATACGTCAAGCAGACTTCCGCCATTGTTGTGTAGGCATTTCCGTAATATTCGGGATGACTGTTGAGGTATTCTTGAAATGTGAAATGCACCAACCGGAGTGTCGAACTCTCATCCACAGTGACAAGTCCAAGGCATGACGCCAGCACTGTTTTTATGCCAGGGATATTTTGGGAATTGACATCTTGAGAACCTATTTCTAAACCAAGGGCAAAGCATAGCTCTTTACTCGTCATTGGCCGCTCCGATCGGGAAATCCACATCAAAGTATCCATGCCAAGTTTTGATTGACCTCCGCGCTTCGCCATTATTCTACTCAAGGTCTCGCGATAAGCGTCGTCCAACCCGAGGCCTCCACTGGTTATTT